ATGGTGGAAACAAGATCATTAAAAAGACAAAAAGGAAAACATCTGCGCAGATGACAAAAGAAAATTGCAAAGAGATCAAAAAGATAAAAGAGCCCAATGTCTATGAAGTCGTTTGTAATAACGACGTAAAGAAATTTATGAAGCTAAAATTCAGTAAATTCAACTGTTTATTTACAAAAGGAAAAAGAATTATTTCACAATATTCAGTTAACGATTTATACTCCAATGAAAAATTTTACATAGGTCAATTCTTTCAAAGGCTTTCAAAGGCTAATTCAGAACCGGATTACATAAAATTGTTAATTTTCAGCTGTCACCAAATGAACGAGTTTTCGAATTTGTTTCATTAAATGATTTTAAAAATATGGGCAATAAATATTAAAATACATTAAAAGTAGCGCTAATAAAAAAAGTGACATAAATAGCCAAAAATGACGAAAGTCAAATTAAAAGAATACTGTCGAAATACCATGATGATCCTATAGAAGGAGGCCATACAGGAATTACGCGTACCCTGCTAAAAATTAAGAAATACAATTTTGAGCCCCAATTCCTTATTAGATAGTGCAGAGAACAGCCCCTCAACCAGCGCAAATAGTCAATCTGACCGCACGAATCAAAATAAGTCGTCTCCTAAGCCTCCAGCAATCTGTGTGCCCCAAGTTAAAAATTTCACGAGTTGGAGTGGGCACTCAATGCTGTTGTAACAGACAAGGAATACGCCGTGCGAACATCCAAGTTCGGAGTCACGCGTACTTACACTGCCAATGCTCAAGCGCTTCGATCAGTTGTTAGAACGCTAACCCAACTAAACTGTGAGTTTTGTCACCACCAGCTGCAGGATGACGAACCTTATAGACTGGTACTAAGGGACATTCACGTCAATGTTCCAAAAGATCTTATGGAGCGCACATTCTAGGATAGAGGATTCACAGTCCTTATCATATATTGCCCAAGAAAACCGGACTGGCGCCACATCCCGATCAACGAGGAGAACGATGAGCAAATAAATAACGCGAAGACTAGACAAAATATATTTTAAGTTAATATCAAACGTACCTCAAATGTAGCCGAAGCAGTTACAATAGCCCATATAGGAAATCACAGGGTTAAAGTTAAGAAAGCAGATCGCAATAACGAGTTGGTTCAATGTTTACATTGTCAGAACTTTGGGTATACGCGAAACTATTGCCTTAAAAAGCCAGTCTATGGCAAGTGCGCAGGCGATCACTGTACCGACTCCGCATCTTGTGAGTTGAGGTTGAGTGACAGCAACACATGTGCTAACTGTGTTGGGGACCACATAGCTAGTTTCAAGGCCTGCAAAATAAGAATGGAACAAAACAAAAAGTTTAAGCTAGTTGCGTATTTACCAGAAAATGAGCTTACGTTTTCTCACAAGCAAAACAAGCATGCCAATCCGAGTACCAGACAAGCATATATGCATAAAAGCAGTTGTCCAAAACGGCTTTTCTTATGTTGACATGGCAAGGTCAGTAAATAAAAAGACTGCTGAAAAAAAAGTTGCCACAATAAAGAAAAAAGAAATGTTTGAGGATTTAGTTAAAAGTTCCACTCATTGATCAATTCAGGACTTAAATTTGTGAACGGATCAAATGTTCAAACTGAACAATGATGAACTTAGGCTTTTCCTTAGTACCCACACTATAGACATAATGCTGGTAACTGAAACACACATGCGTCTTGGGCTGAAAACGTTTTTGCCCGGCTATGAAATTTACCATGCTTATCACCCCAGTGGTAACTGCAGAGGTGGAGCCGCGGTCATTGTGCGATCTTCTGTTCGTCATTGTCAGAATAAGCCAATATCGCGCACGCATGTCCAAATTGCTAGTGTGATCGTGCACACAAACTTTGGAAACATCACAATTGCTTTCTTATATCTTCCAGCTTAGGAACCATGGATCAAGGCGAACTTTGAATATATCTTGATTACTTTGGGCAGCAAATTCATTGCAGGTGGAGACTTCAACGCTAAGCATCCATGGTGGGGCAACGTAAGCACGTGTACTCGAGGAAAACGCTTACAGAAAGCCATAGCCAGCTGCTTATGCCAAGTCCTGGCCACAGACAACCCAACATTTTATTTATATAATACCCAGCTCACCCCGCCAGGACTTTTTTACAACAAACGGGATTGCTTGGGATAGGTTCACAGTTCAATCGCTATATGCACTCTCCTCGGATCACTTGCCCATACTGGCAATAATGCATCACACACTCCAATTTAAGTCTCGTAGGCAACTACTCATCAGACCTGGATCCTCTGTTGAAACGTATAGAGCTGATCTCGACCGAAGAATGAATCTCAACAATCTCAGCAATCTCCGTGTTCATGGAAAATTTAAGGCAAGCAGCAATTTGCGCTTCGCCTAAGACGCTGCAACAACCATATCAGCGAAGGGAATTGCACCTGCCACAACAGTTAGTGCTCTGCTTTGCTTAAAGAGGAGAGTCAAAAGGGAATATGCCAGAACGGGTGATGAACGTGCTCATCGAATCTATAAAAGGCTTGCCAACCGTCTACAAAAGTCCTAAATAGGTACAAGCAGTCTCAAATCGATCGACTTCTGGACGACGCAGGAACAGATGCATCCACAAACTGGCTGGTGCTATACGAGTCAGCAGAAAACCGAAACCTTCGCATATAGTCTGGAGAGCCGGTTTATGCCAATTAACCTCACATCCGAATGCAGGCAAAAAAAGGTCAAGGAATCGCTGGAAACCCCATTCCAAATGTCTCTGCCCTCTAACACAGTTACTCTGCCGGAGGACCTGTAAATCAAAAACATAAACGTTAAAAATATCCCAGCCAAGGACCTGCTGGACAATAGGACTATAAAACTTCTTTCTACTCTTCATAGTTCTTATGTGCAACTGCATTCTACGTTTAGGACACTTACCAAAGATCTGGAAGTCTGCACTGATCACGATGATCCCTAAGCCAGAGAAGCAGCTCACAGAAGTAGACGCGTACAGACCAGTCTCCTCCCTGCCCTTGCGAAGATGTTGGAAAGGGTTATTCTCAACCGGAACTTGCAGGTCACAAGCGTGACACAGGCGGTTCCAAAGTGGCAGTTTGGCTTTCGAAAACGTCACCGAGTGGTCAATTTTGCACTGGAAGCCATGGAGGACAAAGAATATGTGTTGGCAGTGTTCTTGGATATTCAACCAGCCTTCGATAGAGTATGGCACCCTGGACTTCTCAGCAAATTAAAGAGCCTCTTAACGACACAATTGTTCCAGTTAGTAAGTAGCTTCTTGAAGCTTCTTTTTGTCGTCGTCGATGGTGAAAAGTCAACAAATCGACCCATAGGCGCCGGAGTCCTACAAGGCAGTGTCCTCGGTCCCACTCTCTACACAATATACCCAGCTGACATACAAACAACCAGTTCGGTTACAGCAGTGGATAGGGAGGATGCCCTTATTGGACGTTTGCAGATGACACTGCTGTGCTGTGTTGTGCAGGAGTCCTCTAAATGGCACTGCCACAGAGACGTTACAAGAATACCTGGGCAGCTTCGAAACATGGGCCTTAGAATGGAATATCAGCATCAAAAATGCGCAAATATCATACTACTACTAGGCGAGAGTCCTGTCCAGGGGTAATGTTGCTCGGCTTCACTTTAAAGCATGATCCCGCACACAAATACCTCGGAGTCATTTTGGACAAAAAGCTTACGTTCAGCAGACATGTCACGATCTTTCAACAAACAGTTTTGTCTGAAGCTACAAAGATGACATGGCTACTTTCTGCTAAAAACAAGCTTTCGCTTAAAAACGAAATAAGGATTTTCAAATCAATACTGACTGACTCCTATATGGACCTATGCAGTGCAAATGTACGGGATTGCCGCAAAATGCCACCTCAACAAAATAAGAGTAGCGCAGTGCAAAATTCTTAGAAGGATAAGTAATGTTCCTTGGTAAATGCGTACGAGGGACATCGAGAGAGACCTAGGAGTTCCCAAAGTAGGAGACGTAATCCGTCAGCATGCCAAAAGATACTCTCTCGCCTTAGCTCTCATCCCAACCCACTAGCAAGGCGCCTAACTTCTCCTGGAAGAACCTGAATAAGGTGCCCCATTACAAGAGTCTGTCTCCCTAGGGAAAAATAAGACTTTAACGGTGCCATACACTGGATCTACCTAACAGGGTCCTATAAGACATGTCTCTTTAATAAAATATATAATATAATAAATAATCGGCAGAATATAAAAATAAAACTTTTCGCCCTATAGACTTATACACCTTAGACTAATTAGTAGTAAGTCTTGTTAAATGTTTTCCCCCATATATAACTAGCTTAAGCTGCCATATTAGGTAGGTAACAAAAAAAAAAAAACTCTAATATGCGAACTCACAAAATATCTAGATACAATATCAGTAACTGATAAGAGTGCAAACACAGTAGCCAAGGTAATATTAGGATCTTTTGTACTGACGTACGGTCCAATGAGGACGTTCATATCGGTCATGGTTACTGAATACAAAAATTTACTCATAAATGACTTGTGCAAGTATATGAATATAAGAAATATACACTGCACAGCACATCATCCCCAGACATTTAGAACAGATGAAAGAAGTCATCGAACTTTTAATGACGATTGGGACATTTGATTGAACTATTTCACCTATTGTTTCAACACTACACCATCGACAGTACATGAATACTGTCCATACGATCTTATTTATGGTAGATGACGAAGACAGTTCATAGAATTTAATAATATAACTAAAATAGACCATATATATAACATAGATGATTATGAAAAAGAGTTTAAGTTTAGATAATAAATAGCTTATTAAAGAGCAAAAACTTTAGTAGATTTAGAAAAAGAAAAGCGAAAGATAAAATATGGTAAAAAATTAAATGATATAGAACTAGAGACAGGAAACTTAGTACAACTAAAGAACGATACTGCGCATAAGTTAGAAAGTAAATATATAGCTTAACAAAATATAAGCACAGTGCGTTGGATGTCGAATACACATTTAATTCAAGTGAAGTCAAAAACTACAACTACAGTACAAGCCCCTTCTGAACCGATGCGAAAGACGGAAAGCCCGACAGCCGTTGACAAAGATACATCGATGCGACTCTTTGGACTTTGCGTTTCCTAATGTGGGTACAGCGGAAAGGGTGCGCCAAGAGGCGCGAGTTCCAGTTTTCGCCTTCTGCGCCTTGGTATGCGGGGCCTTGGGTGTACTTTTCACTTCGTCTCCTCTCCTTTAATATGGAGCAAGCTGTGGTGATCCTTACCACAGGAGCGTGATGTGTGCTCGTGGGCCAGGCAGTTAGGGCAGTTCTTGTTGATGAGTACTGCCCGGAGGCGCTTCTTAGGGCTCAGGGTCAGGAAGCGTTGGCATTTCCGCAGTGCGTGCACTCCTCGGCAGACCCGGCATCGGGTACATATTGTACCAAACTGCAGGTAGCTACATAAAAATAAATAACGCACATGTGGGCGCTTAAGAATATAAGAGTGACCTACTCTAAGCAATAACATGTTAGAATAATAAGCAGCAAGGGTGAAAAAATACCCTAATGAAAAGCAATAGCATATGACGCGCTAAGGCTTTCGAGTCTCCAACGAACGTTTTGCCGTTGTCGGAGTTTATTTGTTGGGAGCATCCCCGTCGAGATAAAAGCAAGCAAGCAAAAGCGGCAAGGAATTCTTCGGTCGTCAAGTCCGAGCTGGCGTCTAAATGCACGGCCAGTGTGCTGAAGCATACAAAGACGCCGTTTAAGGCAGACCAGTGCGTGTGTTTGAATGTGTATTTTGTATTATTGTGAAGAGTAGTGGGTAGGCCGTAAGCGTGTAAGTGTTGGCACGTCTTATCAGGGCCTGCCTGTAGCAACATTTATTTTAATGCCATATCACTCGGCCAGGCCAAGACGAACGCAGAACAACAGCTGCACAATTGTGAGTTACAAGTGTGGGACTGACAGCCGCACACACGCACACACACATACCTGACAGGCCATGTAGACTTTATATAATAAATAGACCTTATGATAGGCCGCCACAAAGTGTGCTATCTCACTTTATTGTACTTGTATCTCACTCGGTTTCTTCTTAGCCAATGCTCCCTTGATAATGCTTTTTGCTGCCCAATTTTTTTACTTCTACTGCTTCTTTTCGTTTTTGTTGTGTGGCGCGTCATTTGGTTTTTCGTTTGTGAGTGTCTAGGTATGTGGGGTTTTAGTAAACGCCTACGTTGTTATAAGCATAGAAAATGAAAACAAATTTTTTAATCCCATGAAAATAAAACCTCTTGAACCTCAATGATCAACTGAAACAGGCGCTGTGTGTGTTGATGGTGTTGAGGGGGTGGTGGTGGGGGACATAGATCAGACGCATGAGTAACTTGCACTGGTTACGCTGACTCGTGCAACATGAATTGTAACCCTGCACTCGGCCACAACAACTGCAACTAGTAAAAGAAATATGTGATCAGTCACTTTGAAGAGTCTGCTGATTCACGACGCAGCTTATGATGTATGTTTATATGTGTATCTCAGTAGAAAGTACCTGGCTTTGGCCGTTAAGTCTTAAATTTTAGTTATCCACTCCTTTTGCGGTAGTTTGAGTGTAGTCTTTAAATTCGCTGAAGCGTCTCAAAACTGTCATAGTACAATAACAAGTAAAGCCAGCCAATAAAATAATTATGTAAATGATAAAAATAGAGATAGCAACTCACCTGTGTCACATTCTGCATGCTTTAAGGAACCGGGGGTGAGTGCAGCTGACGTTGTTCGAACTGCTCGTGGATGGGGAAGGTCGCGGAGCATTGCATGCAGGGAAAGGCGGCGGTGAGTTCGCCCGTTGGGAAGCCCGGGCTGGAGGTGAAGCGGGGAGCACTCAATTCCAAATCATTAGCGGAATTGCTGCCTACGCCGCTGTTGCAGCCGGGCTTTGGCGGTGGCAACAGCAAAGCTTGCTGGCTATGAGGCATTCACAACCTGTGTAGTTTTTGATAAAACGACCCAGCGAAATCGACGCCTGTATGCGTGAACAGACGGGAGAACGTGGATAGTTCGGCAAATCACCTATGAGTTGGGTTTGCAACTTCTTGCGATAGCCTACACATAATCGACAGGAATTTATCGTGGCGCTAACTTGATTCCTGAGTTATGGAATCCATAACTTCCACCGGATCATGCGAATCATTATCTGGTTTCCACTATGGAGGGAGATTCGATGGGGGAACCGAAGGAGGAAGCATGTGAGAGTGCTTTCATAAGGAAGGAGGATTGGATGTCTTGCGTCATAGCGCAAAGGCTCAAATGCACTTACATGCTCTCATGACTCAATTGTGATCAATGAACGGATTGAGAAAAATGATGGTACTTGAACTTGGTTTAAGTTGCTTGTCGAGCAAAAACTGATACTCCATGGGGTACTCAATGCGTTGAGCCGCTCTTGAGCTTCGGATAGCTCAATACTGCTGATGATCTTTGGAAATTGAATATCGGGTTTCTGACGGCGCTTTATGAAACGGTAGACATAAGCCATGACTCTAAGAGCTTAGCCGAGTTCGGAGAAGCGATCTACGATATGAGATTTTGGAGGCAACTTTGCTAGGTTGCATTTCACAGGACGTACCTATACATCAGTTTCATGGACTGATTCGATAGGAGTTGGCCATTGAGATTGTGGCAATTGTAGCCATTCTGGTCCATGCCACCCAAGATCATTGGCCACAAGGTCACATAAGGGAACACCTCTGCTAGCCAGAAGGGTTGCATTCGAAGCGAACGTGAAACGTGGCGGATTGTGCGATTTCTGCGACTTTATTAGCCACGAAAGTCATCCATTTGCATGGTGGCTTGCTGAGACACTTTCACTATGACTGACTCGGTCCAGCAGAAAAGCTGACAGGCGTTAAGCACAACTCGAATCTTTGTGGTGGTAGATACAAGTTATTGGAGTCGTTACTAGCAGGGACTTGTTTCATATGATTCAAGTCCAGGTAATCCTTGATCACGGAGTTGTACTGCTCTTTAAGAGAAACGTTTTTCATTAAACGACTTTCGTTTCTCAAAAGAAAAAGGAGAAAAAAGCGAGTGCGATGGACCTCAAATGTCCCAAGTATTTGTGATCTGGATTCTTGAAGGGTAGCGATACTATATATCTGCCTATCTCTGACTATTTTGCCATTTTGGTTGGCATATACCTCCCGAAACTTAGTGAGAAGATCATCTACAAGTGATTTAGGGCTGACCAAAATCCTTGTGTCCCTGTCAGGAGTGGATTGCGAGTTGCAGCGGGAGCTGGAGAAGGGCTGCCACGATGCAGGAGTGTGTTGTGGCGACCCTAACACGTGAAACAATTATGTTGGCTTTTGCAATCTTTTAATTGATGACCTCTCGCGAAACAGTTCAGGTAGAGTATTTGCTGTTTAATGTAGTTGGGCACAAGCGCACTGAATGGTTCTCCTTTGGGCAAAGATGGCAAGATTGAGCCTCAACGCTCGCCTTGGCTTCAAAGGAGTTAATCTTTATTTTAGATGGCTCCTTTCAAGCGGGTTTAGAGTGGACCTGTGCACTTGTGCTGAGCTTCAAGCCTTTTAGCGCCTCTAGAGTGCGATAGCGTTCTAATAAGAAAGAATTATGGTCGTTCTACATCGGGAGAACAACCTTGTTGTGCAACAACTAATCCCACAGCGAAAGTGTAAGCTTGGCTAGATTAGAGGCGCACAGGTTAACTAGAAGACAGTTCCCAGTACTTATGCGAGAGTGCTCAAGCGCTGTCAAGCAACCTTGGATGGTGCTCCGTAGGTCTTTCTACGAAAAGGTCTCGGAAAGTGGTCCATTTTAAATATTCCCCATAAAAAAGTCTATCTCCACGGGAGGGAGACTGCAGCCTCTTGGCTGTAGGCTTAGCGCAGAAGCCGCGGTCAGGGCGGTTGCGCTCTCTTTTTGCTCATTAAGAGTAGAAGTGGTATTATATAAAATAACAATGGTCATATTTCGATTGCATGGCTTACATATCTTGCACCTTACCCCAAAGGGCACGGACTTGGCTTAAGTGGACTTTAAGAGTGTAGAGCGACACTACAAGATTCGGAGACGAGTTAATTCTTGCTTCGAACTTACTGAGTCTGTCAGTCACGGCAATTAGTTCGCTGAGCGCCATTTTTTTGGAAGTGATGTAGGACATCAACATCACTTCCGTGCTGTGTTGATGGAACGGAAAGTCATTGCTTACTGCTTTTGTCGCTATCAATTGGCATAGTAGGCTCCTAAAGAGCCTCGGACTTGGATAACTGCGGTATTACTGATTTTCCGTTTGTATGAACGCAAGGATCGCAGGACCTGTACGAGCTACAGACTGTAGGTCCTCTTAGTGCCCGCGCAGATCGAGTTTGTTTCCTATATTCGACAACTAGCCCCGTTTCCAATTAATCGATGAAAATCGATAATGAAATCCAATTTTTTGAGTAATTTCGGCAAATAATATGAGCTAGAGTCACCAAACTTGACACGTAGCGTCTAGAATTGTATATATATATATCAAGTATCTTTCATTTTATATCTATCGCCACCTCCCCGCTACCACCCAAAGCTATAAATCAAGTTAATTATCCAACTTGTATTGCCCATCAATTTAAGTCACAATTTTTATGCAATTGACTTTTTGAGAATACATAAATATTCTATATTCTATTCTACAATAAGATGTACTATCGAAAATTTCATTAAGATCGGTTAAGAAACACAAAAGTAATGTGCGCACGTTTTAGCAAGAGCTGGCGCAAATTCCAAGAAGTTCTGTATACATGTACACACACACATTCATGCGCGTCGGCTTTGAATTCTATCAACAGCATTGCAATTGCGATTTTATTGTTTCTGTGCTGCTATTTTAATTGTTTTTTTTTTCTCATTAATACTCAATTATTGGTTTGGATCTTGAGTAGAGGCGGCGGCAAGTGGTGCGGTTAGTTGCGAGTTCTAACCCTGCCAAGGGAACTATTTTATTTTTATTTTAATTTTTCTTTATTACTACTTAAGCAAACGAGCGCGTAGCGCGAACTGCAGTTGGTGTTGGAAGAAGAGGGTTCCGGGTATCCCCTAGTCGGGAGCTCCCGACAAGAGCCTCTTACTTGTTAAATAAGTTGTACTTAGTTGTGGGTTACTTTGTGTATAATGAGAAATGAGCCCACCGGTTTCAAGCCGTTGGGGGAATGATATCCAGGAAAATATGACAATTGCAATTTTTCTTTCGCACCAGTTAGTGGCTCATCGAGGTCCGATTTGACAGCAAATCACCCAAATAATTTCATTCCAAATTCATTCATAATTTCCAAATGCATTCCTTGATGGACGGCAAGCACAATTAGAATAATGCGCACAAGAAAAGCTTAATCAGCTCAGTGTGAAACTCGCAGCACACCGAACGGGACCGAATAATAACGACCAGGAATCAGTAAAGACAATCCTCTAACTAAATGTTCAGAGTCTGAACCATAATAACAATAAACAGCTCCTTAAAATGTATTTTATTATTGATAATGTCGATATTGCAATTCTGTCGGAAATTTGGGTTAACCTTAATAACAATATAAACATATTAAGCCTGTCGCGGCACCTGCCACAAATGTTGCAAACTTCAAAGAAGTGTTCAAAAAAGTGTTCTTGGTAGCCGCCTCCTTTAATAATCCTAGTATTATAGAAGCGGATTTAAACGCGATGTCCTTAACAATGGGAAGTAATAGCATTGATAGCAAAGAGCACATATTAGAATGGGCAGCACTCGGGAAAGGCTTTATTTGTTTGAATGACGATTTACCTACCTTCTCCCACATCCCTGTGCATTTTTTGGCCGTTGACCTGACCTTTAGCATTGTAGATATAGAATCTTCAATTGCAACATTTTCCCAATTGTCATCTCCTTAAATGGGATCAGCTCAATCACCAACAAAAAAAAAACCGCCATGTCGCCACAATTATAGAAGAGCTTATCCAAAATGTCGATAGAATCCCCAGGGCAAACTCAATCATAATCCCTAGCTGCAACCGTTACGTGCCCAACAAATGGTGGGCGAAAGAGGCGGAAAATCTCTTTCGGCTAAGAAATGCATGCACGCAAAAATTCAACTTTACCAAAAGACTTTCCTTCAAGAAGACTGAGACCTTTTTGGGATCAAGAAATCCTAATTCCTTACGAGGTCTAGACGGGCTGTCCTACAGCATGCTTCAGAGTCTGTCGACACAAAAGAAGGTCGACAGTTTTATACTTCTGAACAAAACATGGCAGCGGCCAATAATCCGAGAAAGCTGGAGAATAATTTGAGTCGCTGCTCAGCACTCTTTTTAAGACAATAGAGGGTCCAATCAAAAGTAATTTCGACGCGCACAAATCGGCCAATAGGCTTTTGCCAGCCAGATCGTACCCCTTCCGAAGACACAGATCCGCAGATCAATGTATAAATAACCTAATAAACAAAATTGGGGAATTAATATCCAACAACTTTCAAGTCGCCAAGGGAAATACGTGGATGGAATTAAATAGGGGGGTGTGCCAAGACAGCTGTCTAAGTCCGTCCCTCTTTAATATACAAGTCTTCAAGTCGACAAAAATATTTTAATAGAAAAGATAGGAGTGTTCAAAGAAAAATGAAATTTCCTGAACCTGACTTTTAATCTAAAGGCATTCACTTCAGCAAGCGCAGAGAACCCCTTGACATCAATCATAAGCAAACAGGTCCCGCGCCTTTCTCAGATTGCTTGGCGGTGCCACCTTCGGGGAAGACCCCGGAATGGGTCTAACTCTAAAAACCAATTAAAATAGCAGCACAGAAACCATAACAATCGCAATTGCAATGCTATTGATAGAATTCAAAACAGACGCGCATGAATGTGTGTGGTTACATGTTAGCTGATGCTAACACGTGCGCACATAACTTTTGTGTTTCTTAACCGATTTTCATTATTGTATAATAGAATAGAGAATATTTTTGTATTCTCAATTGGATTGTCAATTGCATTAATTGTGGCTTTGTGGTGGTAGCGGGGAGGTGGCGATAGCTATAAAATGAAAGATTCTTGATATATATATACTATTCTAAAAGCTACAAGTTTGGTGACTCTAGCTCATATTATTGGTCGAAATTATTCAAAAAACAGGATTTTGATATCAATTTGCATCGATTGGAAACGGGAAAAGTTCTCGAAAATCGGAAACAAACTCGATCTGTGCATGGACTAGGAGAACCTACAGCTGAAATTTCAAGTCTTAGCTGTAATAGGTTCTGAGATCCTTACGTTCATACATACGGATGGACGGACAGACGGCCAGACAGACGGAAATGACTAGATCGACTCGGTTGTTGATGCTGATCAAGAATATATATACTTTATGGGGCGTAAACCCTGGGGCACCCTTTTGCCTTTTGCACATTTGCACAAATACATTATACCCTGTTTACCCATTTTCAATGGGTTCATGGTATAAAAAGAGGAAAAGCTGGCCTCTGTAGGTTTTGAAATCTGATCCACAGACGATTTCGTTTATAGCCGTCATATCAGCGGCGCTTTCCTACAGGCTACAACAGGGCAGATATTAAGCTTCTACCCAGACAAGGGTATCTCATCACTCTCGGCGGAACTTATAGCGTTCGAGATAGCTCCTGTCCATGCCCTCTCCTGGGGCCTTCCTCGTGTCGACATCTTCTCGAAGAGCAAACGGAGTTGCACTGCTAGCAAAACCCCATCAGGATAGCTTCATTGCCCAAATTCGGAGAAAAATTCAACAGGGCGACACCCTACAAAGAATCGAATTTCACTATATCCCAGGTCATGGGCGTGTGAGATTTTCAGAGTGCCAGAGTGACGTCTTTCTTGTAAGGTTACTTTTGGTGTTGGAAGGTTCCTCCAGTTCAAGATAATTATTAAGTCAAGAATTCAGTGATACGAATAAAAGATAACAACCGCATTGTGTTGAAGTTCAAACCAAATGAAACTCTTTATTAACTGAAATATGTATATATCTTAATATTTACAAGCTGCCGAGCTGATCGTCGATGGTGTCCCATTTCTATATGTGTCGCAACATCAACATCCCATCTATGGCTGATGTTTCGTTTTTGTGTTGTTATAGCAACATAGTGCTACAATGTTGTGTGAGCCCTTTTAGTAAAATACAGGGTGTCTCGGCTAGAGTCGCCCACACAGTGAAGATTGGTTATGTTGGCTTGCCTCGTGGGGGTTCTGGGGGTGCCATCTCGTAACTCCTCCCCCCCCTAGTGTGGAGTGAGGGCCATAAGGATGGTATGGCCGAGATGTTGATTGAGGAAGTATCCATTGGGACAAACGAAATTTTCCTTGGTTTACATACCCATATTGCGCCTATTATTATGGTGTGTGTGGCCGCCACTAAAGTATCCACCCCTCTGTTCATAATTATAGTTATAGGGTATAAGCATTGTATAGTATATAAGCATTGTATAAGTTATATCAATAGTTAAGGCGGAGCGCTAGGGCTCCGAACAGTGCGGCTGGGCCCGAGTTTAGGAAGCATAGTAGGAACCATACAAGTGAATAAAGCTGAAGTTAGAAAAGAAAGTCTGCTAGTTTTTATTTTATTTCCTGTTAGTCTTATTCTCTGACATCGGGGCTTACCGATGTTCGACCTAACCCTCTTCCTCATACTTGAAGTTCAGTGAACGTGGTACGAGGCTGCTGCCCAGTATAGTGTGTTGCGAGGCTGCTGCCCGATAGTGTTAGCGGCACGTGGCTATGTCGAGAGTAGGTATTTCGAGTTTGCTGTCTGGTGGTGTATGTAGTTCGAGGCCTCGGCCCGTCAAGTGCATGATCACCGCGGCTCAGTGTGTGTGCGTACTTCAGGCCCTACCCTGTAGAAGCAGTAGTAGGGACCGTTTGATTGATGCACTTTCAATAGGTTTTCGATGGTGTTGTTAATTTTCAAATCTTCAAATGCTTGTATTGACAGTTCATTTGTTTCTTCGTATTTCAATTCTATGTCGTCGTATATAAAGCCATTGATGTTCACCGTACAATCTTTATATGTAACAGTCGCTGATCCCTTAATTGTTTGAGGTCTGCTGCATTATGAGGTTATTGTGGTGTTGACCGCATGAAATATTAAAATGTGCATTTGCTCCACATCACTGATGGTTTCTTCGTTGCCGATGTCTTTGAGATCACACGTTGTTGTTTGGTCTGAGAGTATGCCTTTTAGACATTGATAGTTGATCATGTTGGTTGTAGATTCGTTGACTTCGCAGATGTAGGTTTAATGGCCAGCTTGGTTATAGGTAACATAGTTTGGTAAAATTAACATTTTTGATTCATTTACGGGTAATGGAGCAAAGTGTAAGAGTTCGTATTGCTGTTTGTCAAATATTGGTATCTTAATATTAAACATAACAATTGTATCCGGTTTATAAGCTTATAGTGTTAGTAATCTATACAAATGTTCTTCTGATTTTACTACAATGTCTTGTTCGGTTATTAGCTTATTAATTACTTCGAATGCTTCTTTTGTTAAAATTTATTTTTTGAATGAAAATTAAAAATTTTGTTAACAAGATACTTTTTGCGATATTATTAATATGATTATATACAATTTCGATGTTTACGTAAATTCTGGATATATATTGTATCAAACGTATTTCTTTATGTTACTCGTTTGGGGTCTTATATATATTATTCTTATAATTTTTTATAAAATTGTTTATAACTTATTGCTCTTGGTTAATATGTTCGGTTATGTTTTTAAATCTTAAAGCTATTTCTTCGCCAAATATATTTTGTTGATTTATGTTTTTCAAAATTGTTTCTTCATTTTCTCTTATTGCATTAGATCTTTCGTCGATTTCGCCGGAAAATTTAGCATGATTAAGGTTGTGTAGGGCTATATCGAATTTGTTTACATTGTCTATAAAATCTTTTAGGTCTATTTTATGAATAAGATGTTTGTATGATATTATAACCTTGGCGTTGCCTAGATTAATTTGAGCAAGTTTGTTTTTTTCCGTTAATTGTTGCACTTTTAACATTTGTGCATTAGAATAGCAGAATCTGTTAAAACATTTGTATGGTTATTTTTTAATTATTTTTCTAATCTTTGATTTATGTATTTTTTGGTTCTTAGTGGTTACAAGTCTTATACCGTTGTCTAGGAGGACTTGGGGTTTAGTAAACTTGGGTGTAAATTTATTTCTTCTATTATCTTTTCTAAAGATGGTGTCTTGTGTTTCTAATGTCACTGGGTCTCATTCGAAAGGTTATTAACTTCCATGTAACCAAGGTTATTCTTTGCAGAATACAGCCCTCCTGATATAAATAAGTATTTGTTGATAGTAGTTAGATCGCACCAGAAGGTTCCGTTTTCAATATAAACGGTTAGTAGTATTACTTTCTTTGATTCTTTTTAGCGTAGCCACGGGTAGCCGGTTGATGAGAACCGTCCTCGTCTGGCGTATTCCAGGCAGGCGCACTTTATAAACAAAGTCAGAGAGGCGGCGTACTACGGTCGTCGGTATAATCCAATTGGACTGTAATTTCGGGCATCGGCCGACTCTGTGTATCGGAGAGTACAGCCAAGCGAAGTCGCCGGGTGCAAACTCGGTAAGGTGGGAACGTAAATCGTATTGCACCTTGTTGACATCTGCGGCCACTCGCAAATATTGGCGGGCGGACTGATGAGTTTTTCTAAGGTTTTCCCGTAACTGCTTGACGAAAGCGGGAGAGTTTTCTGCGTCGGGCGTTGGACGACCGGACATTAGTTCCGAGGGCAGACGAGGCTCGCGATCAAACATCAGTTGCGCGAGCGAAAATCCAGTAGTTTCGTGAGGGGCAGAGCGGTATGCCCAAAGCTCAAGTGGTAGCAGCTGGTCCCATTCGCGTTGGTCGACAGCGACGAATTTGGCCAGGAAGTCCAGAAGTGTCCGATTAAAACGTTCAACCATCCCATCCGATAGGGGATGCAATGGCGTTGTGCGCGTTTTTTCCACGTCAGGGATTCGAAGGCAGGGTTGGAAAACTTCCGACCCGAAGTTTCGGCCTTGATCCGAGTGGAGTATAAATGGGACGCCATAGAGGCAAAATACCTTCTGAACAAGTGCTCGTGCGACGGTTTCTGCCGTCTGATAAGGGAGTGCGATGCACTCCGGCTATTTGGTAGAGTAGCACATGACAGCTGCGATATACCGATTACACTTTGGGCACTGAGCGCACCAGATTTCCACGTCCGCACTCTCGCCAATCTAATAGCAGCGCTTCTTCAGTTTGGCCTACGTTTTACTGAACCGAAGTGGCCTCCTGTGGTAGAATTATGTACGCTCCAAGGAGTCACCTCCTGAAAGGCAGCCGGGCACTATTGCCACTGCGTCGCCTTCCTTATTCTTGATCATCAGCACGCCTTGGTCTAAGTACAGGTTTCCAAACATATTCCAGTAAGTTTTAATTTCCAGGCTCTCGCCCAAAATGGCACTTTTGGACGGCCGCTCTCCTTTGCTCAGCCAAAACAAAACCATCGTCAGAGTCGGATCCTCGTTTTGCCGCTTAGCATAGTCGATTGACTGAATTTGCAGGAACAGGACATTTTAATTGTCTCTCTGCTCGGCTTTTTCGCTATGCGGCACTCGCCACAGGGCCGACGAGAAAGGCTGTCTGCCTCGTGGTGTCTGCCACTGCGATGTTGGATAACCATGTCATATTGCTGCAGGCGTTCTATCCAGAACGCAATTTGTCCTTCCGGTTCCCGGAAATTGTAAAGCCACTTAAGCGATGCATGATCGGTGCGGAGCAGAAAACTTCGTCCAAATAGGTAGTGATGGAAATGTTTAGTTGCCAGCACTACGGCCAGCAATTCTTTACTGGTGACGCAATAGTTTCGTTCCGCGGAACTGAAAGTCTTACTGTAATATTCTAAAACATGTTCTTTCCCTCCCTGGATCTGACAAAGTACGGCTCCAGCGCCATGATTTTATGTGTCGGTATCTAAAATAAAAAGGCCGCTGGGGTCCGGAAAGGTGAGAACGGGCGACTCCATTAAGTTTGCTTTGAGGGAGTCGAACGCTTCTTGGGTGGCAGGAGAACAAACGAAAATACGCTGGGCTTCAGTGAGCTCATGCAACGGCCAAGCTATCGTGGCAGAGTCCGGAATAAATTTACGGTAGTAGGATAATGTCATGAAGACGCCGATAGTCTACGCAGAATCGCGTGGAGCTATCCTTTTTTCGCACCAACACCACGGGCGATGCCCAGGGGCTAGTAGATGGGTGGATTACGCCCCTACTCTGCATGACCGTTATTAGTCGTTCAACCTCTGCTTTTTGCGACGGAAGGGGTGCCTCAACAGTTTCCAGGTGACCCAAGATTGTGTACGCCGTCAGTTTGTGCTTTTAAAAACTCAAGTTTAGCACGCGCAGAATGGCGGAGCCACTTCTGGTGTCGACGAGAGTGCTTCCCAAAACAAGATCGTCAGGCAGCTTTGAGTGAGGGCCGCGTTCCAGCATGGCTAAAGGCAGCTGCTCCGGCGACGAGCAGTCCACAAGCAGGTGGGTTCGCTGTATGGCGGGACATTAGCAGAGATCGTTGAGTACAACAAGTTGGGGGGTACTGAGTTGGGCATATGCAGTGAAGCCCCACCCCAGGCAAAATTGAGGCGGACTGCTTTTAAGTCCACGGTGGCCTGGTAACACAGCAGAAAGTCGATGCCCAGAAGTCTGGGCGTATTGCCTTCTACCAGTGGGAATTCGTGCATTATTGGGCGACCCGCTATAGTCAAGCTTACTGTTGCCCGAGGGGTGGCCACGAACTGTTCGGAGGATGGGCCCTGTAAGGTCACCTCACATGGTATGACGGACAGCTGTTTCTGAAGATCTCCGCGATTTAACAAAGATACAGCTGCACCCATATCAACGACGAGTCGCACAAGGCGTTTCTGCAAAAAGATAAAACAATGAAAGCTCTGAACGCCCAGGTCACAAGTGTTTTTCCGCGAGGGTCTGCCATTCCTCCTTGAGCGCGCCTGAGTCCCAGACGTTACTGTCGTCACGTTCAGAACGGTGCCAGTGGTGCACCGGCGACATTGCGCCTCAAGACGATTGAGCGCTTCTGTCAAGTTGCCCGGGCTACTGGCGAGAATTAAAACTTGGTACGTCATCTTATCTTTTGGATACGGTCTATAAATCGCTGTACCATGATGCTGTTGTAGGTAGCAGGCGGTAGCTCTCCGAAAACAGCTCGTCACAGGCGATCCAAGTCCATTGCAAAATCTTCTAACGTTTCCTTGGGGGCCTGCAAGCGATTATGAAACACGTGATACCCGGTATGAGTACTTACGGAAAAGTGTTCTCTGGGTCCGGGTACTGCGTCCTAGCCTCCTTATCTGAAGGCTGGGCAGCGGTCTCCCGTAGATCGGACAGCGGTCTCGTAACTTCGCAATTTCGCGATCCTGCAGGCAGGGCCGACACTCGTGGTGTGCTTGCAGCAATCCCATTATTGGCAGTGGGACTGGTGACGCTTCAGCCGCGCTAGTGCCCTTGCAGTGGCCGAGGGGGCCCTGCAGGCCATCTAACATGCTGCGTTCATACGAAGACCGCATCAGTTGGAACTTTTGCTCGACCAACCTCGCCACGGGTAGCCGAGCGGAACTAATTATAGGAGAGGGACATTAAGGGTAGACAGCACAAAGGTACCAGGCAGAGGTTTAGCGATAAGCTTTATTTATTCTTTTGCCATATAACTTTATTCGGGGCACGTAGTTGCCGGGTCGTAGCCAAAACGAGAAGAAGGAAAAAGAGATGGTCTAATTGTTAGCTTAGGGATGGGGTCGTTTCGTCCGGACCTGTCGTCCCGTGGTCTATCCTCTCGATTTTGTTCTTGTTTTTAACTATTTTCCTGGGAGAAATACATTTATATTTTTTTTATCGGCTTTCTAGGGCCTCCCGAAGGTTGGTTGGCCTCATGGACTTAACTGTGGCTCCTAATGAGCCTCTAATTCCTGATAGGAACAATTTCAGACATATGTCTGCAAATAAGTTTTTTTTTTGGTTTGAGCGATAAGGGTTCAGATTCCTTTGTTTCTGTTAATCTGAACGGGCAAGTTTGATTTCACAAACTTTATCGTATAAAACGAATAGGGACGATTCCTCTTGAACTAAATTATGCAACTCATACATAAGAATGGGTTCACCTCTTTTATCTGATCAATATGCAATAAGTGAATCTTTAATCTCATCCCAATTGAGGCTAGCTCCGGCTTCTATTATGGCCTCATTGACTTTGCCTTCAATTTTGTTCCTAATTGCTGTTAGGAGCATCTGCCCATAGGGGGTCTCATCAGTTCCTCTAATAAGAAGAAGAATTTCTTCCACATTTTTGAGGAACTCGCTCAGTGTCTTAGGGTTACTGTCTTACGATGGTAGAAATCGGATCGCGTCTGGTATCTTTAAATTCGAATTCGCGTCCAATTGGTGTCTTAATGCCTCTCCTTGATTAGGAGGAGGCGAACTTGAAATTGCCGTCATGGGAGTGTTATCGTCCGCTCTAACAAATCTAACGTCCGAAAGGCTAGAACTGATCTTTTGCTTATTTCTGGTATTTGGGATGAGTCTTTTCACTCTCTTAATATTTTATTGTTGTTTATTTACTATTTGCTGTCTTGCTACCTTTTCAAACTCTGACTTAATTTGTTAATATTCAATCTAATTTTAAGTGTTTGTGCTTTAGACTTATGTATCTAGGGTGTACAATACGTTTTTTTTTTGATTAGGTTACTTATAAATAGTTTTCCATTAAATTGTGTTTAAAATATATATACGAGCTTGCGAAAGGTGAAGGTCGCCTTGGTGGAAGGTGTGTCCTATCTGTAGATTGGATTTTGTTAGTAATGTATTCGTAATTTATTTTATTTTATAAATGTGTAGTGTGCCATGGTAAAACAAATAGTTGCGTTAGTTCTTTGTTTTTGTAAAAATTTATAATCATAAGTGTTGTTCGAACGATTGTTTTATTTTCAAATCGCACTGAAATACCGACTCGAGCATACTTAGTAGTCCCAACTTGTTTGTCGCTTAAACGGGGTGGTTTAATTAAATGTGGATTTCTGTTTTTGGCGTACAAATCGCCTTGAAATGTAGCACCACTTGCCGTTTATTCGAACCTATTGTGTCTTGTAAGCGACATGTTCGATGGGTTTGATTGTGTGTTGCTGCCTTTGGTCTATAAGTCGCCTTGAAATATAGCCTCTGCGTCAACTTCTTCAAACTTGTTGTGTCGAGTTGCTTGTGGGATCGATTTGAGTTGCCATCTTTGGCACTGAAGTACATATACAATTGCAGCTGTTTTTTAAGTTTTTAAACATATCGTTGCGTTGAAAATTGTAAGTCGCCCTGAAGTACACGTTCAACTGCAACAGTTTCGACCCCTATTCATACCACATTGTATATTTCACATTATTTTTTAATTGCAGCTGTTTTTAAACTAATTGTACGAGGGAAGCTTTAAATTTATTATGAAACATATCGTTGCGTTGGAGTTCGAAAGTCGCCCTAAAGTACGAGTTCAATCAGGTTCGACTTCACTGTTCGTCCCATAGTCTGTGTATTTCACTTTATTTATTCATTTCCTTTTGTTCTATATAATATTGCTGCAATTTGGATTTTTTTTCTTCAAATTTTTTTAACCACATTCATTCCACTTTAGCATCTTTTACTTTTTACACATATTATTTTTACTAACAAGATAATGATACAAAGGAGCTTCATGATCCGTGGTCCGACTGCGCCAGTTACCAGAGGAGAACCTAGTCCAGTGTCAAATGTGACTTCCTTCTTGTGTCTTGTAATGTTACTTTTAGTGTTGGAAGGTTCCTCCAGTTCAAGGTTATTATTAAGTCAAGAATTCAATGATACGAATAAAAGATTACAACCTCTTTATGTTGAAGTCCAAACCAAACTGA